AAGCGAGGTGATGAGGGCTTTAGGCTATGCCGAGCAAGGTGCTGGAAGGTGAATTCGCTCAAAGTCTTTCTCAGAGCGGCGAGCACGCGATCTTCGAGCTCGTGTTGCTTGCATGGCTGCAAATTTGGCCTTAAATGGGGCCACTTCGGAGCGGGCTGAACGCAATTAATTGACCCTTGTCTGTGAGACCGAAGGAAGTCTTCGGTGCGCAGCACAGCATTTATGACCGCGCGCCGTTCTGAGCAGCTGGAGGGCATGCCAAATGAAGCAGCACCCAAGCAGAAAGGCATCCACTTGACTGAAGCAGCGAGGCGGCGCAAATCTGTGGGACAAGGTCATCATTCCAATAGCAAGCGGACTGTGACTACACGACGACCTCTGATGCGCAGTCAAAGTTGCGAGCGCTTTTCTCTTGTGAACATTGACCAGAGGGACATTCGCGCATGCTAAAGACTTCGGGCAATTGAAGACCGGCCATCGACACCGAAATTTGGTCGCGGCAGAGTATGGTGGACATAGTCAGGGTATAGTGCACCAGCGACGGAAGGCGCAAGTTAATGATTAATCTTGACCGCGGCCTTCTTCAGCACTGCAGGATCGTCATACCCGGATTCACAGGTTCCAAAATACTCGCGGCAGCAAAGTCCGTTCATAGAGTCGTCAAATTGTTGCGGTCATTGAGCCGTCGCCAAGGTGCGAAGGTCTCTCTGCCCATATTTGCTGTGCAACAATTCGTGCACTCCTTCTCCTTCACGGTTGCCGCCTGTACAGATGATACCGAAAGGAGGCCTCCGCCAAGGTCCGTCGCCCGATGCTTGGCAGAACTCTCCCGTCGCTTCATGGATTTTTCTGGTGGGCCCCGTGTCATCGTGTGGATAGGCATGCTCAGGCCTCGTCTATCACTGACAATGCTCGTCGCCTGAAAGCTGCGCTACCGCTTGCATCGTTTCTCCACCAATCTCCGAGGTTCAGCAAGAGTAAGCTAGGCATCACCGCGCAATTTGCGCGACAACATCACCGAAACGACGGATGCAGCCAGGACACCTGTATCTGTGGAAGAACGAGGCAAAGCCGATGGCAGTCTTGATTAGCTTGGCGAATCTTTAAAGCAGTCTTGACTGCTCATCCTACTTGACTTCGGTAGGCATTAGCCAGGCAGTCGAGACGACCTTGGAGAGAGCATACGTTGAGGTCGGAGTGAGCAAAGCGTAATTATACCCGGCGCTCAATGATCAACCCAGCCCCACGGCGCTGACCTGTACACG